ATGTACCAATCCTCTGGGCAGGACAAACACTGGAGCGATCAGATGATCCCCAGTTATGAATTAACAGGAAGTGCTTTACATAACTTCCTGTTCATTCATGAGTTTAGTTTCTCAATGTAGAGTAGCACTCAGTACAGAGGCTCCTCCCCATTCAGAAACTGGTGGTAGTAAATATTTTCTGAATTAATGGGAAGCCTCTGTGCTTTCCATTCATTTAGAACAGAGCATGCAGAAAAAGAGATTGAGGACTTTGTGTCCTCAATTTCTTTTTCTATTTTAAAAGGGAAATATCAGGGGAGAGTTTAGACCCCTAATATATCCCCACAGTCCCCCCAACAGTATAAAAAAATATTTAAAATTAAATAAATAATAAAAAGTAAATTAAAAAAAATAGTAAAAAATAAAAGCCTGGAGGCAGGGCGCTGAGTGACGTCACAAGCCTGTTGGGGAGCACGTTTTGTTTTCCTTGGCTCGGGCTCAAAAGGAGCTGGCTACGGCTATGCTCCCGCGGTGCTCGTGTAGCTGCCGGCTGAATGTGTTAGACGGCGCAGACAGAAAGGGGCAGGACATCTCTCCCCTTGTGCAACGTCGGCCACACGAGCACCGCGGGAGGACAGGAAGCCGGTGCCTCTAGAACGTACTGGATAGCAAGCCGGCTGGCTCCCTGCATTCCAGTCCAGTGCGATCTGCAAAAATAGTGCATGCAGCATTTTTGCAGATCGCACTGGACCGGAACACAGGCACCAATGTGCCTGCGTTCCGGGTGCAGGCGATCGCACTGCGGGTGAGGGGCCTGGCTGCGGTGTCATTGACTTCAATGCACAGCCATGCCCCCTCACGACCCGGAATGCAGGTGTTTTTTCGTTGGTAGATCTCATTAAAATCGTCATTTGAAAAGTAGATCTCCAGACTAAAAATTGTGGGCGCCCCTGCTCTACGCTATAACCAATTTGAGCATTTAATGAAAAGAGTTCCTTAAAGCCATCCATATTAAACTTTAGTACACAGAGGGGAAGTGTTAAAATATTGCAATGTGTGTCCTCACCGAGATGATTTTTTACCTTGACGACCTGTACCACTGGCAGGGTGTCACAAGGACAGGAAGTGATGAGAATCTCTCTGATGGGGACAGAGAATTTAGCCAAATCACATTTATTTAACAGAGACGGTTAGTACAGGTCAGGTTTTATTGCTCTGTGTATGATTCTGTGTCACTGACAAGCACATTTTTATTTCTGAAACTGTTGTCACGAGGACAGGAGGTGAGGAAAGGAAGTGAGTGGAAATACAACAACATAAACTTGACATAGGTTCTGATAATTATCTACTCTTTTGGTTTGATATAAACTCAGATATTACAGCCAGATGGGTTTGATGAAAAACTGTTTATGCACATCCTTTAGTCATGTGTTCGGTCAGAACTAGCACAGCAGCTGACACGAATTACAAGGAAGCACGCTGACCAACATCTGACTCAGAACTCCGGAGTTCAGTAACAAGACACACACTGCACACCCCAGATGTGGTTACTTCATAAAAGCCACTGGAAAAGTCAAGCAACAGAGTTTCATGCCTCCATGCTGCATGTTGTGTAATGTAATGCAGGAACCAGAGAAAACATGTATACAAATGAGTGAATAGTATATCTGTGATCAAAGCAGTGTTAGTTTAGGGTGAGAAGCAGCCTGTATCCACCCCTTAACTACCAGGCCATTCTTCAGTGCTGTGATATTTTGACTCACAATTACTCGGTCATGCAACACTAGCCAAATCAAAGTGACATACACTCGGGAGTTAAATCTTAAAAATACATTCAAGCACCTTAGCTATTAACATAAAATGTATCTTATTTGTGTATCACTCGGCTGTAGATCCTCAAATCATCTCTGAATGTGTGCCGACACTGTCTTTCCTTCTGGAGGGTGGTTTTTAAGATGTAACTCCTGAGTTTGGCGTCACTTTAACTTTATATCTTTTTTTGAGACAGATAAGAGTTTTTTTTGGTGGTAACTAATAACTATTGTTTTTTATTTATTTACTATATAATGGAAAAAACACCAAAACTGTTAAACAACAACAACACCACTTACTTTCTGTTATAAAACATATGAAAATGGCAGGACAGTACAAACACCCCTGAAATGACCCCTTTTTAGAAAGTAGACACCCCAAGGTGATCTAAATTGTTTACCACAATTTTGTGGAAATCCAGAAATATTCTGCCTGAAAAGAAGCTGATATACTTTTTGGAGTGACGTGTGTTTTTCCTCAGGTGTTTGAACAGGCACCATAGAAGACAACAGGATTGTTAAAGCTACAAAATGCTCTGGTATGAATGGGCCCTAAATGCTATTGTTTTTAATAAACCACAGGGAAGAATTTCTCTTCCTCAGTAATCACCAAAACAGGAAGCTGAAAAAGGAAAAAAAACAGAGAATAATACACTTTTAGAGTGATATTAAAGTCAAAATGTTTTTCAGCTATTTCAAATGCGTTGTTGCTTGATTAAAGGGTAATTCCACTTTCCCAGGTGAATACGGGAAAAACACAATTACCCCCACCAATCTGCCCCCTCTTCCGCCTGCTGGAGACAGCTCTGTCCCTAGTGATCTTGTACTGGACAGGAAGTTCAGGGAAGCTGAGCTGAAAAAGTTAGAGCCCGCTGTCTGGAAATATGATCACTGTAAGTGTTTGGGTAAAATTGGAAAGAAATACTTTCCTGGGCGATGTATATTTGTTTGATCTGGACTTATTATTGAAAAAATAGAGAGTTTAAAATGGAGAGGGGTGAGAAACTCTGTTGTTTTTTTTATCTGGGTCTGTCTGGATATATTACCCCTACATTCCTGTACCAAAGATCACACAATAACCCAGGACATAGACACCAATTCCTAACCCTACCCCACAATACAATGAAAAAACAAACACATGCTATAGTTAGTTGGTTTTTGTGTCCCAGTTAGAGAGCTTCCTCTTATTTTATGAAATAAAAAAACCTGACTGTGGTTTTAACACTTCCCACTCTTTGTAAGTACTACAAGAAAATACTGTCTGGGTTTTAAAAGAACATGTAGAGCTCTGGGAGATACCAATGTGATAGCTTTCCCAAGATGACAGTGTCTTAATGATTGGTCCTGGAATTCATGCAGAGTGCAGAAGAGTGCGAGAAATGGCGGAACTTGTGACAGATTCTTGTATGTGCTGTGCATGTCCCAGTTTGGAAGCTTTTTTTTTTGGAAGCAGAGAGGCCTTGATAGGGCAGTGTGGCTTCCAATTAGATTTGCTGCAAATATATGCTACCAACACCTCTGATTATAATACATGGAGGGGGGGGCGGGATTTATCAAAACTCCTGAAAATGCCTCGATTCTTCAGGCCGATACTGGTCCTTTAAATGTTTAAACAAGTTCACCTGCCTGAGGTTGCTTAAGGCCCCCCGCACTTGCTGAGAGCCCGTCACCTACTCGACACCACCCGCAGAGCCCAGAGTCGACCTGCAGAGCCCAAATTCACCCGCAATGCACAGAGAGCCCGGCATCACTTGCACCGCATAGAAAGCCCAGAACCCATCCACAGGCCCCGCCATCCACCCGCACCACACAGATAGCCTGGCACTCATCCACAGAGTATGGCATCCACCCGGAGAGCCCGGCGCCCACACGCAGCCCTGGTGAGACCCAAACACAGCTCTGTAAAACTGCTGTAAAATCACCGATTGGTGGGATCAATGATTATACAGCAATAGAAAATTGCAACTGGCTATAGAGGACTACAAATCTCAGAAATCCATGATTGCTGGTTGCCATTCTCCATTGCTGAATAATCATGGATTGAGTTACAGTTCTTCATAATTATAAAGTAACTGCCCTAAAATCATCAGTCTGTGTTGTTTTAGAAAAAATGTCACATGTCCTTTTAAGAAAAAGGAATGGTTATCGGCAAGTACCTGAGGGAAAGTACTTTTACTTGGTCTTGAAAAAAATGGTATCCAGACATACCTTGTTTTAACCCTTCCGCACCCCATTCACAACTAACAATAACGTTTTGGCCATGCATACACTTTAAATCTGTGCTGATATGTGAATGTTTGATGTACTGTACTACAACATAATGAAGATTTTGCAAAATACAGTATTATTTTTCGCTTATTAAATGAAGCATGTAATGTTCCGTTATCAAGCAAAACTAGAACTTACTAATGCAGAATAAGACTTCAACAGCTGCTTTGCAATGTCTTTTGTAAATAAACATGCAGAAGAAGTCAGATTAAACTAAATAATTTTCATATACTGTATATTGAAGGCCATCAAAATTTTGTTTCTATGTATAGTGTGTAATATAATCTATGCACAGGGTAGTGACTATTTAGTTTCATTACATACACAGGCTCTGCTTCCTGCTTTGCATGGTTGCTCTTTACTGCTCCTTCTCAAACTGTAAAGTCTATGGGGGTGATTTACACAGCAAAGCGTATTTATCAACCAAAAAGTCTCTAAAAGCATATTTCCACTAATGCCATATATGGAAAAATCATACACATGATGCATATATAATGCTGCTTCACAGTTTAGACAAAAATGGTTAGCTCATGCATTTACATTCCTGCATTCATCAACGCAAGCAACACAATGTAGAGCTAATTTACACAACATCACCTTGCAATTTAGGGCAGGGCTTTGCACAACACACATGCTGGGTGTGTACACACTACAAAAGGTGTTTAGATTCCACCCATAGATCATGCTGGGAGGGAACACACTACAGAGGTGTATACATGTTCGTGGTGTGTTTATAAGGTTAGTAAATCAACCCCTATGTGTCAAAAACATTTTAAAAAATGTACTCCCTACATACTCAATATCGTATTATAAAACTTTTTTTATAGAGAGTCAGAGTAATTGCATTTAGCCAATGAGAGCTCCCACTAGTGGTTAAAACAGTGATAATAAAATAATATGTGCTCACCTAAAATACACAATTTCCTGTTTAAATCGGCCTACCTTTAAGCCATCACTGGGAAGTCTGTAGCCAAACCTTGCTGGAAGGTCCTCAAATGTTTTGGTGTCATTATCTGAAGCATACTGAAACAAAGCACAAGTATATTGTTATATAGGAGCTTCCGTTAAGTTTTAAATATGTTGTGAGTTTATTTAAAAGGAAATGCAATTCTTGATCTCCTGAAAATGAAAAAACTAGCCGTCTGGCTGTCATGCTGATGCTTTGCCTTCAAAACATTCTGTGTTAATGATCTGAAACAAGTATACAGACCAGAAAGGTCAAAGTTTAATCAGAAGTCTTTATCTGTATACTTGCTCCAGGCTTCAAAGTGTTCAAGCAAGGTCAGCATGACAGCCAGGTAACCAGTATTCACAGAATAGGAAAATTTCAGCCAGACACCAGAACTAGAGTTGCGCCTGAATAAATTTGTTTTCAAGATTAATCGTTCGAATTTCTGATAGTTAATGGGGGGGTGGGTCACAATAATCGAAGGAGCAGGATTGAAAATTCCAAAATCGAATGTTAAAGCAACAAAATTTCTAGTGATGCACCAATACCGGTATTTTGGTACAGAGTATCGATAATTTTTACCGATACATTTTAATTGCCGATACCAATTACAGAGTAATGGAAGTCACATTCAGGAAGCCAGGTGGCTTTTAATGACTCGCCGCCTGGCTTCCTGATTAACCGGGCAGCGTGTAAAGACTCGCCAACCGGCTTCCCGATTAACAAGAAAGTCCCCTCTTACCTTTGTATGTCCAGCCTGTCACCCCCGGGGGCCTCTCCAGCCAGAACGTGGCCTTCCTCCGGTACCCAGACAGAGCCGTCTGGCCGGCAAATCAGGAAGCCGGGGCGCCGTGTAATGATATGAGATGACGAGGGAGCATGAAGCCAGCTTCCCGGCCAATCAGAATGCCGGGCGCTGCGTCATTACACGCTGCCTGGCTTCCTGATTGGCCGGGAAGTCGGCTCCATGCTCTCTCGTCACACACACACAGATTTTCCTATTTGAATTATTACAGGTAATTATTTAATGCTGGCAATCTACACAGTGCTTTTCATACTGCACATTCACATCAGTCCCTGCCTTTGAGGAGCTTATAGTCTTAGGTTCTTATGTCACATGCATACAGACATACACACATACTCCAGCTTTTGTTTCCACGCTTATTACAAGCCATTACATTGCCTATTTCTGTAACTTTTGCATACTTAGTAAAAGATGTCTGAAAAGATTCCCTCTAACAGAATATACAACTGAGATGCTGTACAAATAGATGATAGACATATGGATTTTTTTCAGTCCATCTTTTGTTGAATGATAAAAAGCATGCTGCCCCTATTTATTCTATGCGTGGTCCATATTCCATTGGATGCCTGGGGGCCACTATGAGAATGGGCCATCCATAGAATTGAATGGGGCTGTGCGCACTAGGAAGAGCCAAAATGCTATTAAAGCAAAAACTGTGTGGTACAAGGCAAGGCAACACAGAAAAAAAACACAACTCAGAAATCAGGATAAAAAAGGCACTTAACTATGCTGACTATATTTATTTAAAAAGATAACTTCACTAAACAAGAGTTTTACATTAATTCCACTTTTGCTGATGGGTTAATTACAATAAAAAGACAATATCAAAACTTAATTGCAGAGTTCTGTCTACTACAATTTGTTTTGAAATACACACATGGAATTCACTTACTTTGTATTTCCTAAGTAGTGATGAGGCTGGGCTTGGTGTGAACCCTGTCTGCCCGAGTTCACCAAAGTCTGCTTAAAACTCTGACCGTCACCACCTCCACCTGACCCAATCAATGACCTTTTGTGACGTACAGCTGCGGGGAGGGGATTGCAGTACGGTCCGAACATTTTAGGCATGTGTGAAAAAATGCTGTAAAGTAAGAATGCCTTCAGAAATAAGTGTTCATAGTTTATTTTTATCTACGGGCGACACGGGCCGAAGGCGAGGCGACACGGACACGTGTCGCCTCCGGCCCGGCCTGTGCAGGTACGGAGGGCAGCAGGGGGAATGCAGTCACAGCAGTCTCTCCTCCCCGCTGGTGCTGGCTGCAGCGTTCTGTGTCCCTGCTGCCTCTGCCAATACAGGCGGGGAGAGCAGCGGGGATTAAAAGGAAAACATGCAGATACAGCCAGCACCAGCGGGGAGGAGAACGGAGGAGCAGAACGGCGGCAACTAAACGTAAATCAACTCATCAATGATGGGAATCGTTGCCAATACTTCTCATTATCATTTATAATCAATTTAAATTGATTAGTTGCTGCTGCCCTACTAAAACCCAATTCTTTATGAACCAAGCTCAAATAGAAACATAAGGGCTTCTCATAGTGTATGTATGTTACTAATCTGCCTTTATTGAATTGTTAAAAAACACTTACAGTTTATTTTACAATATTGATTTGATTTCGAATTCTCTTCTGTTCATTTACTTTCCATTTTGTTTATTGATAAAATATAAAAACTATTAAAACACTTATTTCTGAAAGCATTTTTACTTTACAGCATTTTTTCACACCTGCCTAAAACTTTTGCAGAGTACTGTAAAATATTTATTTAGTAATATACACACACAGGAGTTCTGGTTTAACATGGGTTACTTGACAATTCGAATGCAATGTACAGTAAATGCGTTTCAGTAAAATGGCATTTTCTTTGTTAAACCCAATCGTTCCTGCCCAAAAGGTACTTTATATCTTGTTCTGACGAAGGGGGCCTGGCCCCGGAAACGCGTCATCAAAAAGGAGTCCTGTGTTGATACACAGGCATCTGTGCAGCTGATATTCAGATATCGTTCTGGCTCATCTCACATGATTATACTGATTCTCATTGTGAGTATGTTTTTACCTTGTACTTTAGCTCACATTATTAAAAACCATCTACACTAGGGTGGGCGCCCTTCTCTTTTCTTTTCTACTCTATATCTTGCCTAAAAGAATGGAATCAATACAATATTCGAGATCGTGAAGGGAAACTTATGAGACTAGGAATAGTCTTATAATGAAAAAAGGCCAGGATTGTTAAACGGGGGGCATGTGTGCAACAATCCGAATGCAAATATGTATCCACTTACCGCTCTAATGTCAGCTTCTGTGGGCAGCAAGCAAACAGCAGCAAAGATGTGGACTGACCACAGGCTGATTCTTCTCAATGAACAAACATACTTTCTTAGAGTCTCCATTATGATGACCAGCACCTGTCAATACAAATACAATCTCACATCAGATTCCCATAACTATTCGACAGTAATTGAAGTAAAAAAAAAAAAAAGTCATTATTAAAAGTTCACCTTATTTAAAATTAAAATGTAAGCTTTGAAATACAAATAGGTAACTCAACAAACCTGCCCAATTTTTTTTCTAACCCCAAAACATTGTAGAGTACCAAGCCATCTAGTGGTTTAAAGAAGAACTCCGGGCATATTAAATCTTAATCCGTGACAGCTGGGATGCTAGACCGGCCCTTGCAGCCTCCATCCCCCTTCACCCCTGAGGTCTAAGGTGCCATGAGTCATCACGCACTATCTTTATTATTTTAGCTCATTAGACAAAACGAACACTTAACCCTTGCAGTGCGGGGGTAGCCCCACTGCAAGGGCTAAGATTTCATATGCCTGGAGATAAAATTTTAGTTTGCCAGTACCCTGAAGTTCTGGAAACACAAATTGCTGCTCTGTGTGAATCTGCAGGTTTGTGATGCCCAGCCCCATTAAACAGTCATCTCTCAAACAGGTTTATTTAAAAGCCAAGAGTTCTCTCCACAGAATCGCAGAGATACATACTAGAGCAATGTCAGATCTTTCATTACTGAACCTGCTGATAATATTCAACACCATATTAAAAGGGTGATCATTGTGGTCCTATCACATCCAGATAATGAAGAGGTTTTCCAGCCTGTGTGAAAGGAACACAGGTATCATAGAAACATACAGCACAGCAACATGCATGAGCACAAACATTTTCCAACACACTATGAGGTGTATTCATAAAACGTTCACAAAGTGAACAGCTCTGCAAAGGTCTGAGCTTTAGACCTGGAGTGCATTGTGCCCACTAGGTAGAGCCCAGGAGTATAGCCATCTAGGACAAGAATAGTCCAATCCACAGGATTACCAGGTGAACATAAAGGAAAAAGAAACCTGAAAAAAGAAAACGAATGCAGCCACCACATCTAAAGATTGGTAAGTGGCAGTACATGACATTTTGCTTTTAGGTTTAGATACGCTTTAAGCTTCAGGAATACTGAGAGAAGGCAAAAGGGTGGAGCAAAGAATGTCTGTGGGCTGACTGAGTGCTCTGCATGCTGAGCCTATGTAACCAAATGTCGTGTGTGTGTGTGTACATGACACCACACGCTGAATTGGTGTGTCAGCATTCTTGTGTTATTGGACGGGTTGCAGGTCAATTTTTATGTGAGAAAGAGTCTGCGATAGCTAATGTAACTTTTTCTAGCAAAATGTACATTTGATCCGTCTTAATATAGAATTACCAATTCTTCTTCTTTTACAAGGAAACAGACGTGCCCAAATCGACACATGCATTCAAAACAAAAGGTCTCATGAATGTTTACAGCAGGGGTGTCAAATCCAAACTTACGAAGGGCCATGCCGAGGGTTGTGAATAAAATCAGGGGCCGGACATGAAGAAAAAAAAAAAACAACCCTGCTGCTTGCCGCAGTACAAAGCTCAGGCCCACTAATCATTATAGGACAATCTGGTGTCCTGTATGTGGGGGCACTACAAATAGACCGGGACTACTGACACTTGTAGTGCCCTCACACACAGGACACCAGGATTGTCATGTAATGGACAGGGACTGCTGACACTTGTAATGCCCTTACACACAGGACTGTCATATAATGGGCAGGAACTGCTGAGGGCACTACAAGTGTCAGTCCTGTGCGTGAGGGCACTACAAATGTCAGCAGTCCCTGTCCATAAAATAGACAGGGACTGCTGGCAGTTGTAGTGCCCTCATGTACAGTCAGTCCCAGATACACACAGCAGGACTTACCAGAGCTGCGGAGACCAGAGGCAGCGGCGAGGACAAACATGCGGGCAAGGAGAAACCTGTGGCCCAGGAGAGAGGTGCGGGGTCCTCAGAGGTCGGCCTGCCTGAGCTCAGGCTAGAAGAAAAAATTAACCCTGCTTCGCCGTGGTACAAACCTTGGGACTGACAGGGAATCATGTATATCCCTATGGCATTCCTTTGCCCTCCACATAGGTGATGGGCCTGGACAGATATTACTCTACACTGCCATGTGTGTAACTTTTCACAAGATGCCAGAACACTACATGGGAGTAACAAACACCTGCAGCAGACAAGTCCCACTTGCAAGAATCTGTGGTCTGTAATTCAATTCTACACTGTCATGAAGAGGGAAAATATGGATTCTTTTTGCAAAAGTAGTCTTCTCCATCTTTTTTTAGTTCTCGTCACATGCCCCAACTGCTGATATAAAATTCAGTTTCAGCATACTCATGTCCACTGCATCACAGAGATACACAAAATCAATTTGCCAGGAACCGCAGTTGATGGATTCAAGCCAAAGTTATTTAGATGCTAGTGAAAGTCCTCGAGTCATATCTGTGCTAGAAAATCTTTATTACCTTTGAAGAACAGAAAAGTTCTGTGCCACTTCCAAAGAATGAAAGACTTACTACAGAAGAGAAGTGCAAATTAGAACCTGCTGCATGCACATTTTCTGTGACGGACAGAAAAGCCTCATTGAGCTGTTTTTCCTGTATGTCAAATGAGAGTGGAGGAGGGAGAAGTTGTACAGAAAAGCGTAAACCCTAACAATGAGCTTCTCTAGTTTGCTCCCTTTTAGGGCCCATTCACACCATCTGTGTTGGAGCTGTGCTGGCCGTTGTTTCCACAACACAAGACAGGGCAATTTGCCTTGTCACGGATGGTGCCCATTCACACCACCACATTGCGGTAGGTGTGACACACTGCATGCAAAGCCGCGTGGAGCAAAGCAAAACTGCGAGGCACGGACGCTCGCATGCAGTGTGAGCTGTGCGCGGCCAGATGAAAGACTGCATCTTCAGCCAATGGGCTCACACGTTACAACCGAATGGACTTTGCATCGTGGCGCACAGGTTAATACGCGCGAGCCGGATGGCTGATTACATTTTTCACGTCGGCACGCTCAACTGTGCAAGCTCTTGTAAGCTCACGCATAGGAGTGAAAAGTTTAACTGACATTTTCTTATCTGTTTCAGGCATTCTATTGGAGATAGATCTATGCTGTAGTTGCTTGGTCTGCAGACCTTCTTTGACAGACCCCTTCACCCTTTTGGAGCTTAACCTTTTTAAATCAAGGAAAATGAAACAGATCTTGGTAAACAAGAAAGCCAAAAACTCCCAGATGCACAGGGCACAGCCTGGAATTATGGCAAAGATATCTTGCTGTTGGAGCATCCAGGACATGAAAAAGCCAGGGGTCCACCACGCTCAGCCTATAACATATCACTTCTGGGCCAATGCTTCTTTCACTAGCTAATGAGAAAAACATTGCAGCTAAACTAAAAACTTTTACACATGTAAATGTGTACCATTCATAAGAACACCCTGAAAAGAATCATCCTATTTGTTCTTGCCTTCTGCACAAAAGGTAAATGTGACATCTAAAAGTGATCATTTGAATATACCTGTATGCGATGTTAAATTAAGGTGCGCAAAAAGTGAAAAGGTAGACGCAAAATGTTATCTCTACCTTTACAAAACGTACTGTATGTCCTTTTTCCTTAAACGAGAACTATAGGGTTAAGGCTTTTCCCCATAGTTCTCCTTAGGGTAACGGGAGGACACAAAACTAGCGTCCTCCCGTCACCCTAGGCTCAGTATATCGCGAGCTATAGGTCACGGTATACTGAGACGCCGCAGCTGAAGCGGATCCCGACAATTGTGCCGGGATCCGCCCAGCTGCATGATTGACAGCTGGCTCTGCCTATCTAGAGGCAGAGCCAGCTGTACCCGCCCCCCCCGTCCGTTCCGCCAGTCAGCGCTGGCAGATCGGAGTGGGGAGGGGGGAATCCAGCCCCTCCCCTGTCACGGCAGAGAGCAGTGACAGGATCGAGAGGTGAGCGAACGCCGGTATGTGTTCGCTCACCTCCCGATCTACTGAGCTGACCTATGACAGTCTCATTGTCACAGGTCGGCTAGAACTATGAGGCGAGTGAAAAGCACTCACCTCATAGTTCTCCTTTAAGGGCTTGTTCACACCGAAAGCATGCGCGGTCCAAAGCGGTAGCTGCTGGAAAGCACCGCGATCCCTAAGAAACATCCCCCCCGGGTTCTAGGGCAGGTGAGGGCAGGTGAGGTGCCATTGAATTGAATTCAATGGCACCTCTTCCACACCTCCCCACCCGCAGTGCGATCGGACGCGTTTGCCAGAGTTCCGTTCCACTGCAAACGCAAAAAATAGGGCTTGCGGTACGTTCCAGCAGCTACCGCTCTGGAACGCACACACTTTCGGTGTGAACAAGCCCTTGAGTTTTGTTGCATTTTTTTTAGGGTTTGTCTCAATCCTCTAATTTCCACTTTTGCTGGACAGCTCGGTCTGTTAAAGGAAAATTGAAGAATAGGAGACTGACTGGCCGAATTACCAAGTGAATATGAAGCAAATAAGCCTAAAAAAACAAAAACAAATGCAGCCACCACATCTAAGAATTGGTAAGCTGTAATATATTACACTTTTTTGGGGGGCGGGGTTTTAGTTACACTTTAAGCACCAGTTACCAGTTGCTTAAGTTGAAAAAGTTCACATTTAGCGGCACTGTCTGCAGACATTGGCAAAGGAATGGTTTGCGTGAACACATCAGAAGTACAAGCCGATTCTTTAAGAAATACAGTATAGGAATTTTTACATAAGAGAAACACTGTTCACAGCCTGCCCACATATCGGACGATCTTGTAAATGACTATGGCCAGCTCCATCATCAGTAAGGCCCCATTCACACCTAGGCGTATTGTAATATGCGCGTCTGTCACGCGGTTAAAAAGTTGCGCGACCGTCGATTCCAAAGGCTACTTGGCTGTATCCCAATGGAAAACGCCCTACAAAACGGCCCAAAGTAGTCCCGGGACCTTTTCAGGCGTGGGCCGTTTTGTAGGGCGTTAGGGACGGGCGGAAATACGGCAAGGTGGGAACGAGGGCATTGACTACAATGCAATTTATATTTTTGACCG